CCCCCGCCCAGAAACTATCAGCTAAGATAAAATTTCAACAAATACAGCTAAATAAGAACAAGGCATGTGTGATCCTTGTAAGCCCCTCAGCTCAAGGAAAATGATGGATTGTTAATTTTTTCCATATAAAGGTATTTACTTGTGTATTTAAAACAAAATGTAAAAATAATTTCAATTTTAATCACTACTGAATTCATGCCAAAACAACAGGAAAAGATGCTGTACAACTTTAGTTTATATCATCAGACCTTCTAGTGAAGTTACTAACCTGAGTAGTCCACGATGCAGGTAGGTACATGCTCCGGAGTGACATCAGCTGGTATGGTGATTTCTTCGGCTCTTGCTGGAACCTTTTTGAAACAGATACAACGCAATGAGTAAGAACAATAATCTTAAAAATAAATGGTGAAATGAGCAAAAAATAATCTCTAAGCAGAATATACAGGGTAAATACTGCAGTCTCTGGGCAGAGGAAAAGAATCATTATAACAGACTGAAAATTTCTAAGCACAACATAATTACAATGTGTAAAAGCAAGTATCTCTCCTGAGAATGAACAAAAATTTGGGTCATGGAACATATCAATAGAATGCCCATTTCAGGTCTGACGTAAAAGATAAGTATTAATATTTCAAGGCAGAAATTTCCCTTTTAACTGATTCCGTCCATTCGGCCGCTGACAGCTGCTCTGAGTTTTTCCACTGACTGCATTTGACCGCTGTGAGCGGTTCAACGAAACAAATGTGCACTTTTTAACATAGCTCCTACTTTTTAAGTTGTCGAAAGGAAGTAGAACTTGTAAACAAACCTGACCTCAATCTCTGAGCGCTAATATCGATCGAAACTCTGCGAAATTCTTGCAAAAATCACCGTTTTGTTGTCGCTATGTCGGCTAGATCTAAGGGCAAGGGTAAACAACATGTAGCCTGGTATAATTAAGAGGCCCTTCAAAGAAAGATATTCAATTAAATTTGTGAATTTCTTGCATAAATGTGTGCTAGGGTGATATCGCAATAATTTAGTGTTGATTCCTACGGATTATAAGGACTTGCAGAGCTGAGAAAATGCAGTCAGTCAAAATTTTCGAAGAGGAGTTGCGCAATTTTTTTTCCCTCATTCATTTTTGTCTGAGGGAAAATACAATACAAACAGACTATAGGTCATTGTTAATGGTATAAACAGATTCCTCTATTGATTCCCATCAGTTTGGTATATTACAATACATATCTGAGTAACTTACAGCTTCACAGTAATGCATTAAATAGATGCACCCCAGATCTAAAACTGAAAAGGGAAAAATAATTCTGTCCAGAGCCTGAAAAAATCATGGACGGAATCAGTTAAATATCTCATCTACCATTCCCACCCTTGTATTTTTAGTTCAAATGACACCATTGTTATCTTTTTATATCAAATGAATCGTCACACTTACAATTACCTATCTTGCTTAAAATATTTTGAGGCTAACAGGTATTCATAGCACTGCGTCCTCTAATAAAAGTACATTTGCAATACGGCATACTATATTTCGAGGCAAAAAACATACCTCCTCCGCAAATTCCTCACTCACAAGTGACAGAATCAGGGATGTCTTGCCAACTTTTTCTGAAAGAGATTTTCAAATATTAGATTACAGATCTTACAGCCCTTGCACACAAAATTTGTTATACAAGATGAACACTCAGAGCTTACAATACGCAGGCAGTATGGCATACAGACGTAAGTCATTTTTAGCAACCTTTGAGATACGTCTGTACTCAATACTGCCTGCGAATAGACAATATTTTTCACACTTTTTAGTATGAGTAGTTCTATCAATCTCTTGAGGACAGACTCTTTCAATCAAGTATAGCGCAGCTCATTTCTACCAGTTCTTTGTCTATGTTATTCAAAGTTTTCCTTCTTTGCACAGTGTAGCATCACTTGTCTTTCATGAAGCTGAACTACACCTTCACAGCTATAGAAAGCAATGTAATTATTTCTTTTCTTATTCACAAAGACCTTTTTCACTTCCAATTTGATAAGGCAACAAGTTAGAATTCTGAGAAGGGGTTATCCTGAGAAGAACTCCCAATTTATCCATTAACTATACCCGCAAAAACTGCACCTTCTCTCGGGCAAGTAATGTGTATATATTTATTTAAAATCTGACTGATGTATACACTTATAACCATATATGATGTGTCACCGCGCTGTGGAACCAGGCACTCATCAAATTTCAGGTTTGTTGAGTCATTGGTATTATCTGAAAGCTTTCTCATTTTGCTTGCTTTCAATGAAAAAAATACCTGCCTATCTTGAATAGAAGTTGAGATATTTACCATTGAAAGAGGTGGAGTTGCCTGGTTCTAGTGGTAAAATTAGCGAGAAAATGGCCGCCAAAGTATGGTAACTTTAATAGTTGAGAGTCCTTTGGGAACTTGTAAATTACATATAATATATATTTTGTGCCTTTAATCCAACGTTTTTCAGTAAAAATCACATGGCAATGAGTTTTTATGTGGAAATGAAAGGTCTTGAGCCAAAACCAAAATAAAAAATTCAATAAAATTGCCAAAGTGGTGGAAAAATGTCCTTTTCTTCTATTTCATTATGTTGACAAGCGCCTGATTTCACCATGATGCCTCACACTATCATACTATGTCAGTACAGTGGAACTCGGATTCAACGAGAACTCGGATTCAACGAGATGAGATAGATTCCCCGGGTTTTTTCTCTCTTAAAAATCAATAAAAATAACCCGGATTCAATGAGCACTTAAATCAGCGAGCTCGGATTCAACGAGGTCGCTTCCAGGGTGAACAGCCCCCGAATAAGTGGCTTCGCTCATTTTTCTCCCAGAACAAACTTTATCTATAAACAGAAACCATCCATAGCACCTGTATCATGAAACTTTATTCACTTAGCCGATTGCATGCAACCAATCAGCAGCCTTTTTCATACCAACACGTGTCTACTCTGGCCTGTGTCGCGGACGGATGGGCGGCCTGCACACGTGTGGCTGCGTGTGCGTGTTGTGGAGGGGAAGGGGGTGGGGGGGACACTAGCGGTCCGGGCGTTGAACGTCTGAGATACAAACGTGTCACAATCTTTTTCCTCCCGTCGGCAACTGATCATTATTACAATGTTATTACAATATTACAAGCTAGTCTTGACGTAGATCTACGTAATGAATTGTGCGCTGGTCTATGGAATCAAAAGTTGCCGTATGCTAGGCTCTACACAGCAACACAACTTTTTGGTAAACAATCGAGATGACACAGGTGTGTTCATTTGAACGATTCTGTATTTTTTTTACACAGCTTAAAATATGCAGGTATATCAGGCACTACTTGTGACTTCTCTTTATACATTACTTGCTCAGTGCCTGTAATAATCCATCCCAAACCTCGTGTTTGCTATAACGAACACGCGGATTCAACAAGATTTTAGGCCAGGCCCCGCGACCTCGTTGAATCCGAGTTCCACTGTACTCTGCTACCTTCATTTCTGTACATCAAAGTCTGCATTTCCCCGAAAAGACATACAGATATATGTGTCTGCCAAAACAGAAAAGAAAATTTGGTATCGTACACATTCCCATTCAGTAAGTCCAGCAGATGGACACACAAGTATAATGTGCTCCATCACACTGCATTCCATGCAATAAAGTGTATCATGTACTAAATCACTTTTGCCAAAGTATTATACAATACCACTTTTGAAATGGATTTAATTTAAAATATGAAATGCAATAGAAACCAATTTCACTCTTTCCGCATTCTAGTAACGGGGATATATGCATTTAGAAAGTATAATTCAAATCAGTTAATAATTGGATAGAGAACAATATTCAATCACTGTCCAATCTTGAAAACTTTAAAAAGTCCCTTACCATCTCCAACAAGGAGAATCCTCACATCTCGTTTGTATGACGTCATCTTGCAAATGATCCAATCTCTTGCAGTAACTTTTGGTCAGCTAACAAACATGCCCCTAATGATCCAAGAAATAAAAATACGAATAAGAGGATAGACGGATATCAAACAGATCTTCGTTATGCATTCACTCCAATTTTTTACAATTCAGGAACTGAACTGAAAAAAGAAATTCAAAGCTGTAACTATAATTATACATGATAACTATTTTAACAAAACATGTTGTTCAACATGTGGTGATAAAAATACATGTCTAGATAATTAAACTTCTAATCAAACAAGCTTCTTCTTTACAAATAACCTGGTCAATGAGAATACATATTTTAAATGCATATTTAACTGTTAGTCAAGTAAATCATGCATTACAGAGCGATCTGATGAAAACACATTCCCTTTTTTAAAATATGACCGAAAATTTAATGACAAATCACAAAGACATTCTTATACACAATACAAGCCTTAGATGGCAGCCGAAGCCTCTCTTATCGATTTTAAACCACCAACGGATCTTTAACCTGCGCAACTTGCACACGGGACCTCCGAGATTTTTCGCGCTTGTCCAAGAAGGCTTGGTGTAGATCTTTCAGGACTACCAGAAGATCAAAGGTGTAGTAAGAAGGAGCCAAGGAGTAGCAGTAGAAAGACTGTAGAAAGAGTCAGGAGCCCAGAGGAAGGGGCGATGGAGGTTAGGGGGTGGGGGCAGAAAGTGGAGACGAAAGCAGATGACAGAACATTGCTAGAGAGCAGGAAAGGAGGTGAAACGAGACAATTTTAGAGAAGAAAATTTTTCTGTCGCTACCCGGAATCGAACATGGGATCTGTGAATGAGAGGCGAACACCTTAACGCCATGAAAACCCTTTGTTAGTCTTTTCAGCTTAGTTAGTTGTGTAATGGGTTAGAACGACTCGCTCGTCGGAGTGTTTGATGTGAACGCACGGTTACTAGACCTCGGACAAGGCTTGTTTTGAAAGTAACAGCAGAACTACGAATATTATTCATCACGAATAGATTATTTGTAGGAAGTGGCTATTCTCATCCGGGGTGAGAATAGAAAAACGATCTACCTCTCACCCCGGGTGAGACTTGCCAGCGTAGGCTATTCTCACCCGGTGCGAAACAAGACCTGCTTTTCCTCATTTTGGAATACTGTCTATCGGTGTGGATGATCAAATTGATAAAAGCCAAGAAAAAATTACGTTATAGCACAAAAGTAAGCTAATTTGATCGTCTTCAAAGATGCTATGGCTATTTCACTGTTCGAATCGAGCCGAACTACATGGGTCGCCATTTTGTTTTGCCCGGAAGTTCTCGCAAGATCTACTCCTCCCCTCTCTGTCTCTTTCTGAATACTGTCTATCGGTGTGGACGATCAAATTGACCAAAACAAAGTTAAAAAATGATGTTAAAACACAAAAGTAAATCAATTTGGTTGTCTACAAAGATGCTACGGCTATTTAACTTTTCGAATCGAGCCGAACTACGCGGGTCGCCATTTTGTTTTGACCGGAAGTTCTCGCGCTACTCCTCTCTCTCTCTCTCTCTCCACTACCCACAGACAAAATTGTACGCTTTTAGTAGGCTACAGTTGTAATGGAACGTTTGTTCACGGCACAGAATTCTACAATTTTCCTGTTATCACAGTGCAGAATTCTGTGGTTTAGGGTGAACGCAAGATTTGTTGGCCAAGATCTAGGCTATAACGGTGAACGCGCACCGGGTGAGAATAGCCAAAAGACTCGCCTGCACTATTCTCATCCCGGGTGAGAATAGAGGTGGCCTTAGGCCTATGTATGTCGCAACTTTATAAGTCTATCATTCGAGAATTCTGAGAGCGGGCAAAGATCAAACACAACTTGGGGCCAGTCAACTTACTAAATCCGGCATTATATTTAGGAAAATAAGGTTCCAAGTTCCTACTGACAAAAAGTTCAATAGGTCAGGTGCTTCTCAAGATAGAGAAGAAGGAAGAGTTTAAGCTTTTTGAAAAATCCAGCTCAACAGACTGGAACTGGAACAAAAAATTATGAAACATGACAGAAATCAGGACAATAGGAATGCTTGAAATTTGGGGCAAAACAATGGGACATCTCGATTAATTCGGGATGAGTGGCACATCTGTGTATACTACTAGCCTAATAATACGTAATAGTAACAGGCCTAGCCTAGAGATCTAGTTAGTAAATTTTTATCTAGATCTAGATTAGAATAAAAAAATCAAGGCATTCATGGGCAAAAAATCTTCCAAATTAGATTTATGTTTTAGTTTTATTCACATTTCAAGGATTGCCTCGGGTTAAAAAGTAAAGGTTAGGGATATGGTAGCGGTAAACCTTAGTAGCCCTTCCTAACCTAACCCTTGTAACAGTTTTACCAGAATCCAGCAATTTTATGTAAAATGTCGAAGATTGGGGAGTCTCGAACTAGGTTCTATTTTGGTTAGTAAATTAGTTCAGATAGATCTAAATCTTTAACTGATAAACTAAACTATAAATAATGGAGTGATCTTGTAAGTAGTTCCGTTCGTTAAAGTCCACGATCCTGCCTAGATCTTTTGTTTACATCAAGACCAAGGCCAAGAGAAGAAATCCGGAAGTCTGACCAAATAAGCAACAGAAAGAACAAGGATGCAACCAAACACTGCAAAACACCAATTATGGTAAAATTTAGGGGGGCATGCCCCCCGAATTCCCCCCCATATTTTTATTAGGTCAGGGGCAAGCCCCCCTGAAACCCCCCACTCTTGACTCTTGGGGCCCAAACCGGCAAATAATAATTGGGGGGTGGGAACTGCCGAAAAAGCGCCATTCTTTGCTTGAATTTTTATTTTCTGGCTTTAGACTTAAGTGTTTCCGGGACGTGTTTCCTTCCAGTCTCTCTCTGGCGTTCAGGTTTTGGACTTTAACGAACGAAACTACAAAATCACCAATGAATAATGGCACCTGGATGATCAGCTGGCTGAAGGTTTTTTTCAAAACATTACATAACAGACTTGTCAGCAACTCTTTCTAAACAAAGAGTAAGGGGAGCAGTGACAGCTCGTTTTCCCCCAGGGAATTGGTTCCACTTTCAGTGTCAGGGGCAGCAGCAGCAGCAGCAGTTCTGACTGAGACTGGAGTGAAGTGATTGCTGATGAAAGCAGAGATGATCGGACGAAGAAAGCAAAATGCAAAGTCAAAGCACTTTCTGTTATTCCAACTATTTTGATTGTAATTGAATCTTCACAATGTCACCTCCTGGACTGAGAGATGCTTACTAAGAGTGATAACAGTGTGTAAATTAAACAGTATTTTCTTTATTCAGTGCACTTGTTTTGCAACATTAGGAAGGGTGACAGGAGAAGTCATCCACCATGTTGCAAAATTGTACTTCCGCACTAAGTGCGCATGCGATTTCTTGACAAACCAATCAAATTGTGCAGGAAATCGAAAGTAGAAATATACAAACTGAATGAAACTCAGCTGGGTGAAGGAGTTGCTCTCCTTTTTCGCAGTACTCTCACTCGCATCTGAAGTTGATGTGGTAGGTGCCATAAAATTCGACGTAGTTTTCTCTCACCGGTTGAGTTTCCATACCTCTTCTTTAAAAAATATGATGTATTTTGATCTGGTTTTAAAGATCAAGTACAATCTAGATCTACATCTAGATTTCTAGATCTCTATGAGAACGACATCAAGAGAGAAAATAAATCTGTGCTCTCGCCATAGACAGATGTAACCTAGATTCTAGATCTAGATTCTAGATCTATATTCTCGATCTAGGCCTAGATTAGATCTAAAATCTAGTCTAGATCTAGATATCCAGATCTACAACTCTAGGCCCATGGCTTTCACTTTCAGTCCATAACAACTTAACAAGAGTTATGCACATGCCAACGTGTATCGGCTCACACGAGTCCGTTATTTTTGCTATGTGTGTTAATATTGTGCCATAAATGGCATAATGATGGATTCAGTTACTAGATCTAGATCTATAGATCTAGATTCTCTAGACATAGAATCTAGTAGGCTACTAAGTCTAGGTCTAGATCTAGATATAAATTATAATTATCCCTTACACTGTTCAGGCTTTATTGTTCATTCATAGGACAGTCCATAACGTATTATTATAATAATGGACTGTTTCATTCATATGAGAGCAGTGAACAATAAAATATTGTGAACGTTGTCAGGAGTGCAACCGTTTTGGTCAAAAAAGTAATGTTTCAGAGGCTGGTTGAAAATAATTTATTGTTTAAAAAATATATGGCCTAGATCTAGATCTATATTCACCACAGTGGATATCATCAATGTGTTTCTTTAGCAGACCTATTAGCTGCCCCACTGTTCAAGACTTGCAGCCACCCCCAGTGGGTTTGGGGGGGGGGGATATATATAATAGACCCACTGCCTCGTCTGCAGGAGGTGTAACCCCTTCAATGACGAGGTGTCACACACGGACCCCAACCCTCTGGGATCCGGATGCGACACTGACTTTGGTAAATCTTCCTCTTCTCCTTCCTTCTTTTTTTCTTTTTCTATCTCTTCTTCCACCGCTGACCTCATGTGTAGAAAAACTTGAGGTCACCCACCCCACAGAGTGGGCGCATCGTTGACCGTGAGGTGCGACCCGTGCGGAGGGAGACCGGGTACCTGGCGGTTGAGGATGAGGCCTACAGACTGTCCCTCGCCAACACACCTCTTTGGTCCAGGTTTTCCTCTTAGACGGGAGGGTGTGGCACGGCCCATGCCACTCAATCGGTTGAGAGCTGAAACCCCTGCAAGCCCTGGGTCAATCTTTACGGGAGGGTCTTGTACTTTCTCGTGAAGAGTATAGCTCCGGGGTAGTCCTGGCACAGCTCTGGTTATGCAAGCAATGTATCCCCTTTTTGGGCTCGGTGGCGGGCGCGGAGCCCCGGAGTCGAATCACCTACAAACTCGTATAGATAGTTATACATGTAGATTCTCAAATCCCTAAAGACCCTTCCCCACCTCCCAACGCTCAAAAAGTCTCGGCTCGCGGAAGCAGGTGCGGCCGCCGAGCGGAGCAAAAATGGAAAAAGGACCTTTCCCGCTGCCTCTTTCCTCCCTTCTCCCAGGGAGCTTCCGAAGCAGCCGTACGTGGCCATCTGCAGTAAGGAAGACGCACTGAAGAAGATCACTGGTCTGAAACTGTTCAAGACGGGAGATGCACTACGACAGGTTCTGGGATACATTCCTACGAATGCCCAGAAGCTGTCCTCTGGTGTTCCGTACTCCTCGTCAAGTGCGCAACAGAGGCTGAAGTGGCCAAACTCCTGACCTTTGGCGGTATTCAATGTACTTCCGAACGATACCAGAAGTTAAACTGCTCGAAGGGCGTCGTCCGCAGCCGTGAACTGCAGCATGGAGGAAATGGTGGCGAACTGCGAAGGTGTGACCCACGCCCGCCGGATTACTCTTCGGCGGGGGGAGACCACCCTCGAAACCAACACGATCATCCTGACCTTTGATTCGTGTCGCCCTCCAGCCACCGTTCGGGCATATCGTACTTGGTCTTAGACGTGCGACCCTATGTGCCGAACCCTCTGCGCTGTTTTAATTAAGTGTCAGAAGTTCGGCCATAGTCAGTCGAGATGCCGACACGCAGCCGTGTGTCCTCGTTGTGGCAAGACCGGGCATCCTGAGGAGGAATGCAAGGCTAGTCCTTGTTGCCCCAATTGCCACGGCCAGCACTCAGCCTTTTGTAAGGATTGCCTGACTTGGTTCCAAGAACGCGCAATCCACCAAGAGTATAAAAAGTGTGAAATGGCTGCTCGTTTCAGGAGGCCCGAAATGCTGCCTGCCCGCCAGTTGTGACCCCGGTCCCTGGCCGGTCATTCGTAAAGCCAGCCCGGGAAGCCACGAGGTCGGCAAGTACTTTTACTTTTACTGCCGACCTCCCAAAGCTCGCGGTCAAGAGGCATGTCTCTGTCAAGAATGAAAAGGCTCTTCCTACCCATGTGATACGCACCATTGAGATACCACTGACTAACCGCTTTGAGGTTCTAGGGGAGGACGGGATGGACTCTTCTTCCGCCCCCTCTCCTCCCCCCTCTTCTTCTTCTTCTTCTTCTTCTTCTTCTTCTTCTTCTTCTTCTTCTTCTTC